GAAAAGTCATAAAGTTAATACAAATGAACGCTTCCAATTTCAGTTAAGACGTAATGTTGGAAGGACTGCCAAGCAAAGGAAATCATAGATAAAAGTAATTCCATGAGGACCCGATGGTTAGAATGTTTTTGCAAGTGTTTGCAACTAGAATTAAGTAAGAGGCTTCACTGCGCATCACTTCACATGGAAGCTGTACATTATCCACTAAAGCAATATACTATGTTCGTAATTCTGATTGTAATGACAGGAAACGTGATACTGGTCGAGGAAAAAAATATCTGGGATAACGTGAGCGTAACGAACTGACCTGTGAAGTTTCAGGGACACGACACGCCGCCCACGACGAGCTCCTCACGAAACTCCGTCCACGATATGCCTCCCATGACACGCCGCTCACAAGGAGCCGCCCATGGAACTCCGTCTACTGCACGCCATCCACCACACGACACACGACACACCACAAACACACCATCCGTAACATATCCATAACACACCACCCACAACACACCATCCCAAGATACCCCAACCACGACATCCTAACCACGACACTCCAACCACGGCACCCCATTCATAAAAATTCTATGTAAACCGGAGAACATAGAAAAACTGGAATTTGAGCACAAAAGCCAGAGACGAATTCTAAAGACAAAACATGGAATCAGAACACTAGTTCAATACTACTACAAAACTGAACACAAAATTCGTACCGAGAAATTTCACATTTACTTAAGTAAGACAATTATCCTAACGGAGGAGAGAAGGCAATGAGGGATAAAAGTTGGATATCAGATTTTGGGTAAATATTTTCTGGGAAAAGACCAACATTTTTGGTAACCATTGAAGCTAGGGGATTTGAACACAGACAACTGGGTAGGACAAGGCAGAACAAGCAAGATGGGAAGAAGTTACTTAGCCAATTAGACACAACGATGTCATTGGGTTTAACAGGGATACACTGTACAACCCTCGACGACACACCTCACTGTATACCACACTATATGCGACACACCACACCGTACACCACACTATATACAACACACCACACCGTACACCACTCTATATACAACACACCACACCGTACACCACACTATATACAACACACCACACCGTACACCACACTATATACAACACACCACACCCGACACCACACTATATACAACACACCACACCGTACACCACACTATAACAACACACCACACCGTACACCACTCTATATACGACACACCACACTATATACGACACACCACACCGTACACCACACTATATACAACACACCACACCGTACACCACACTATATACAACACACCACACCGTACACCACACTATATACAACACACCACACCGTACACCACTCTATATACGACACACCACACTATATACAACACACCACACCGTACACCACACTATATACAACACACCACACCGTACACCACACTATATACAACACACCACACCGTACACTACTCTATATACGACACACCACACTATATACAACACACCACACCGTACACCACTCTATATACAACACACCACACCGTACACCACACTATATAAACACACCACACCGTACACCACACTATATACAACACACCACACCGTACACCACACTATATACAAACACACCATCACCGTACACCACACTATATACAACACACCACACCGTACACCACACTATATACACACACCACACCGTACACCACTCTATATACGACACACCACACTATATACAACACACCACACCGTACACCACACTATATACAACACACCACACCGTACACCACACTATATACAACACACCACACCGTACACCACTCTATATACGACACACCACACTATATACAACACACCACACCGTACACCACACTATATACAACACACCACACCGTACACCACACTATATACAACACACCACACCGTACACTACTCTATATACGACACACCACACTATATACAACACACCACACCGTACACCACACTATATACAACACACCACACCGTACACCACTCTATATACGACACACCACACTATATACAACACACCACACCGTACACCACACTATATACAACACACCACACCGTACAACCACACTATATACAACACACCACACCGTACACCACTCTATATACGACACACCACACTATATACAACACACCACACCGTACACCACACTATATACAACACACCACACCGTACACCACACTATATACAACACACCACACCGTACACCACACTATATACAACACACCACACCGTACACCACACTATATACAACACACCACATCGTACACCACACTATATACAACACACCACACCGTACACCACTCTATATACGACACACCAACACTATATACAACACACCACACCGTACACCACTCTATATACAACACACCACACCGTACACCACACTAATATACAACACACCACAACCGTACACCACACTATATACAACACACCACACCGTACACCACACTATATACAACACACCACACCGTACACCACACTATATACAACACACCACACCGTACACCACACTATATACAACACACCACACCGTACACCACACTATATACAACACACCACACCGTACACCACTCTATATACGACACACCACACTATATACGACACAGCACACATAAAATCTAATTCTAAATCGGTTAACTATTCCACGTTAAATACATAATGTTATTATACACATTCTGACGCTAATTGTTTGTGAAAGTATACATAGCGTATATAGCAAGTAAAGGAGAAATATATAATTCATGTTAAGCACTCAATCCATGTGGGTCATTCAGCGCAAGACATGATGAAGGCTCGATCCTCCGTCTGCTGAGTATGAGACAGACACCCTTCTTGTTTGTACTCGCCTATATCAAGCAAGTCAGCCTCCCAAGCTGCCATTATTTCAACCATATAAAGTTCAAACAACTCCTATGTGATGTAGTCTGTAATAATATTATTTTTTTATGGAGAAAGTCAGCACTCATAGGGGCTATTGAAAGCCTGGGGAATAGTGAGCAGTTACGTTCCATCCAAGGAAGAGGATGATAATTTAGTTCCTTACAACATAGCTATTCTCTGGTATCAAGGTACGTCCTCCAAAGAATATGTTAAAAAAACTTCCCTTACTGTGAGTCTTGATTTGTAGAGTTAATATGCAATAAGGATACCACACACCTCACTATATGACAGGAACCATATCCTTCAAACTCATCCGAAGTAATAAGACCGCCTAACCTTCCTTGCCTCTCTCTTCCTGTGTACCAACAATCTTTTTCCACTGATCTATCTTATCCTAATCCTTCCGTTCCCCAGTCTTGCCATCCTTCTTACGGCCTAATATCTCTTAGCTAATAAATTTTAACCTGAAGCATAACCTAGTCATATTAATAATGAATTTTTGAGGTCGAAATTAATTCTGGATATACAAGTTTTCTTCACCCTCATAAGGGGAGAAAAGTTATGATCCTTCTGATACATAAATTTTAATGATAATCAGGTTACCATTTACAATTTGCTTACAAATCAAGTGAAAAGAGAGAGACCATGCAAAGTCTTCTCATTAAAGCCTTCTCTTTAAAACGTTTTCTTTAAAACCTTTTTAAAAACCTCTTTTAAACTTTCTAAAACCCTCCCTTTAAACCTTCTCTTTAAAACCTTTTAATTAGAATTTACAAACATTTCTAAGCTGTCTAATGTTCCTCTATTACACGTGCAGCTGTAGGTATTAGTATAGCATATGGAACTTGCAAAACTTTCTAGTAAACAAACTGCGCTAACCAGGTAGCCAGCAATAAACTTTCTCAGGAAATGACAAATATAACCTTCTTAAGTAACCACAAAGGAAGCCTTCTAAGTTAGCCACAAGGAAAGCCTTCTCAGGTAGCAACACAGGAAGCCTTCTCAGGTGGCTACAAGTGAAACCTTCTTAGAAGGCTTATGGCAGCTTTTTTATAAGGCCACAATGGAAATCTCAGGCGGCCACAAGAAAAGTCTTCTCTACTGGCCACAAGGGAAGCTGTCTCAGGTGGCTACATGGGAAGCTTTTCCAACTAGACACAAGTAAAGCTTTCTCAGGCGGACACAGGGAAAGCCTTCCCAACTGGTCACAAAGGAGGCCTTCTGAGGTGGTCACAATAGAAGCCTTCCCAAATATCCACATAGGAAGCCTTCTTAGATGGCCACAAAACAAACCTTCTTAGTTATATTATAGACAAGGTTGCATTAACATTTTGTGGAGTCCCAAACACATTATGAATTTATGGCCCCTTCGTAATTTATATACTCATAATTCATAAATATACACTACAATTTATATTTTCCAATAACAAATAGGAACCTGGGGCACCGAAAGGAAACAAAAAAATTATACAAAGCAAAACAATATACTCTTTTAACTATTAAAATCCATATAAGAAAAATGCAATGTAGCTAATTCTATGGTCACCATCTTGAACACTATAAGCTTAGTCGTCCACTTGTTGAAGAATGTAGAGTTAGGCTATATAATAACTTATGTGTTGTGTCAAGGTATTATTAATGAAAATACGATACAAAATATACCAGGTATGTTTTCTGAGCGTAGTTCCGGTTCCTTGAATATTTTTAAGATTATTATTATAAATATTATTAAAATTTTGTTATTAATTGTAGTATAATAATAATAATAATAATAATAATAATTATTATTATTATTATTATTATTATTATTATTATTATTATTATTATTATTATTATTATTATTATTTATGGTTAAGTGCTAAGCTCGTCACGGCCATGCAGTGTCTCGGAATGGGAGTTAATTAGGTTTGATCCAAGGACAGGGAGGACAGCCCCAGTTCCTAGGATCAAGAAAATTCCACCGACATCGAAATAGCCCCATTAAAAGAATGTCTTGTAATAAAATAAGAGAAAAATACATATAGGGTTTCAAAATATTTAAAATAAAAGTTTATAAAAGTTCTTTTGTATTTGGGAAATATATGCAATAAGAAATACCTTATTTTTTCATCGTTTTATTGACAGATTAGCTACATTTTTGCTGCTACTTAATATGCTAATAAACATAATCTTTAATAGTAATATTTATTTAGGTTGGATGGATGGTATATGTACAGCCTTTAGTTATCTAGTTCTTAACTAGTTGTTAGTTAAAAACAGACACAAATGCAATGTAATGAGATGCTTTATTAATGATTGCTTGGGCGAAACGTCATTCGTTGTGAATAAAGGTTCTCATTATACTTCACTTCTATCAGTGCAGTGCATGTAGTCAATGCATTGACTGTAGTCAGTGCAGTGACTGTAGTGAATGTAGTGAGTGTGGTTGAGAGAGTAACTATGGAATCTTCGATCAGAGGACATCTTTCACAACTACTCCTGGTCCAATCCTTGGGTATGACCTACTTCCACTGGAAAATCCCTCCTACTAGGTTTAGGTAAGATTTGTCAGAAAACGAGACAAGCGTTTCCTGACGCGGGTCTTAGATGATGACCCGTCGTTGGTCGTAGTTATAACCATTTTTTTCCCGTGCTACTAGTGACAATACCTTCTGCTGCACGTCCTTCACCTGATGCCAGTATATAAGAACCAAGTTTCATGCCTGTGCTTCATATTCTTCAAGACTAATGTGCTCTTTACTAACTTCAAAACTGATGGACTTATATAATTCTATTATTTTCCCATTATGGTCTTGAATTCGTATTGATAAAGCCAGTGCATGGCGAAACGTCTACAAATAAAGATACCCAGATGTCGCACATGTGTCTAATTTTTCATCAGTAACTATGGTAACCGTGATTGAGACGTCAACTGATTCTAACGGAAGACGAGAATGAGAGGGAAAGTGATTGGAAAAAATTTTGATAGCGAGGATGAAATTGTATGGAAAAATCATAGGTATAAATATCGATTATGTGGGAGTAAGGATTATACAAATAAATATCGAGAAGGAGAATGAATGCGAGACGGTTTATATAGTTTAGATTAACTTGGAATTGACTGGGGTTCAATAGGTGATCACTGCTTCCTACCCCAGACACTTGTTCCGTCATCTCTTGTAGCATCTAGCCTTGGGCGTAGGGTGGGTCGCTGTTAGTGGCCAGGAAGTAAGTCCCTCGCAAACTGCAAACGTAAATAATGTATCAGTAGTCCCTTTAATAGCTTTATTATGCACTTCATGCTCATTCTCTGGGCGGTAGTTACCCCATACCCAACCTGTGGGAGGTAGTTACCCCTTACACATGTTGTGGGAGGTAGTCACCCCATATCCATCATGTGGGAGGTAGTCAAAATTTCACAGAGGTTCTAAACAAACAAGTCAACCAATAAATCAGCGTTGAGTTAGTGTGTCGTCATCGCTCTATAACTTAGTTTTTCTTGATTAAGAATACTTTGTCTTCCTCTTGAGGCATTCTGACTGACGGAAAAGAAAAAGGCAACAATCTAACTTACTTGAGCATCCCTACTCTCCCTGGCTACCACTTCTTTTTCCTCATCCCGTACATTTTACTCCTCTATCCATCCCTTTCCTTGGTGTCCCTTGCCCTTTCCAGTCTTCATTTGCCCTTCCCTCCCCTCCATTTTCCTTCCCATGTGTTACCTGTGACTGACGTGGAAGCCCATCTCTGCACAGCTTGGGGCGCAGGAGCACTGCCCTTCCAGGTAGGACTCCCAGTCACTGCAAGGCTGAGCCTTGAACACCGGTGACCCGTTGATGCTCTCCGTCCACAACTTGGTTGACCTACCGTGGCTGCACCCGCCTGTGACAACACCATAAACACTCATCTTAATAATCAACATACTGGGCAGGAAATTAGTTTTCAGGGTGAGAGGGAGAATGCTAGCAATTTAATAGTTCTCTTATTCAGTTATTCATAGCATGTTATATATTGAGAGATTCGGAATACGTCCAAAACTCGAGTCGAATAAATAGGAGCATTGCAGAAGTGAGAAAATGCATTGCACCAAGTGGCTGTTATATGACTCAAGGCAATTACTGGAGAAAGGGATATCTCTCTCTTATACACACACACACACACACACACACACACACACACACACACACACACACACACACATATATATATATATATATATATATATATATATATATATAATATATATATATATATATATATATATATATATATATATATATATATATATATATATATATATATATATATATATATATATATATATATATATATATATATATATATATATGGCGGCAGGCGAGGATTCGACCCCACGGCACATTGTCCCGCTTCAAGAGGCCACACAGTGTATATGTCACCTTACCATCTGAGCCATTGATCCTACAAACAACATGAGCCTAGCGAACTAGGCTTATTTCATGTTGCGAGGACATTTGTGGCAGTGGTATACTCGAGGATTAATTTCAGCTTCCTCCTGTTTGAATACCTGTCTCCACAAGCATTCTAAATAGCAATGAAACCACGAAACAAGTGGCAAATGATTCAAAACCACTTGTTTCGTGGTTCCATTGCTATATAGTCTGCTTGTGGAGGCGGGTATTCAAACAGGAGGAGGCTGAAATTAATCCTTGATCATACCATTGCCACGAGTGTCCCCGCAACATGAAACGAGCTTAGGTGGCTAGGCTCATGTTGTTTGCAGGATCGATGGCTCAGATGATAAGGTGACATGTACATTGTGTGGCCTCTTGAGGCAGGACAAAGTGTCGTGGGGTCGAACAGTGTCTATCGACATGTGGCTTTGACAGATGGTAACTAACACACGGAACTGAGATGCGTTGTACCAGTCACTACCTTCAAGAAGGTCAGTCCATTCGCCTAAGTCAACACAGCCTGGCTGGTGGACACCTCCATTGGGATAGAAATCAACGTGGCCGATGGCGTCCACTAAGCCTACACAGCTCTGTGGAAGCCAGAGGGAGGAAATATTAGTAACAAGTCTTACACTATAGACGCTGTACACATAGAGTGAATCTCTGCATATGTATGACACTTACTGGTGAATGACTCCTGCTATGTGTTGCTTGCATATTACACAGCCAGCCATGAGCTACTGAGAAAACTATATGTCTCTTTCTCTGCATGATCTAGAAAGGTAGCCCCGCATTACATAACCTTAGCTCTCTCTACCTCAATGTACGGAACTGGAAGAGTACAGATTGAGGCACATTTTTTTTACATAAATCAGTTTTACAGGCTAAGAGCTGTTGTCCTACCTCAGCTCATATCAAGCTCAGCCCTATCTAAGCTCTACTACCACTTCCCAGGATGCGACTCACGTCAGTCGACTAATATCCAGATACCTACTTGCTGCTAGGTGAGCAGGGACTCCAGATGTATTAAAACACGTCTAATGTTTCCACTCATACCGGGGATTGTAATGCAGTAAAATGTTAGCACTGAAGATCTGAAACTAATCCGAAGAGGAATTCCTAAGCCATCATTTAAGAATTGTCAAAAATACCTAAATAAAAATGAAAAATTAGGGCATAAACAGCCCAAATCCAAATTTAACCTCCTATCGGAAAACGCTGTTTTAAACCTAAACTGAAGAGAAATTTGTTTGTTATCGCAGAGAGAGCAATCTAATGAAAAAAGAAATGTTTATCCTCAATAAATTTAAAAACGCCCTAAATATGTCTTTTTTATTTTATTTTCTGACTTATATTCCATTTTACATAGAATAAATACTTTATGCCAATCGTTCCAAGAAACTGTTCCGAGTTACCGTACATAAGAAATGAAAACCTGACACATTCTTGAGTTAGGAGCTAAAGAGAAATGAATGGTTGGAGGCAGAAAAGAAAACAAGAAACAAATCTGGCAACCATTTATAGGCCTCCCTTCGAGGATAATTAATTATCATTGTCTTCAGTAAAGAATCTACAATAATAAATCACTGAACAGGTGGGGTTTGAACCAATAGCGAGTGAGTCGTAAAACTCCAGCACTGATTTGGAACTTTATGACTCACTTGCCATGGTTTCAAACCCCACCCGTTCTGTGTTTGTTTGCAATCTTGTTCTTACGATTTCGTGAAGCTGCGGTAATCTATGTCCTACGTAAACCGTTAACCATACAGGGGTTTCCTAATTGACGAGGAAGCCCCCAGATGTTGATGAAACCCTCCAGTTGTGCTTTCATTAAACCACTCAGGAATACACCTGGAAATACCTAATAAGTTCTGCAAGGCACATAGGATCACCCATTAGCTTGTTCAATAACGTAGGAGCACCTAGTTATTCGTTGAATCACCTAGGAGCTGTCAGTAATATAGGAATACCCAGGTCTACCTACCTCCAGGATAGTACCACCATTCGTGTGGATAATTTGGACGAAGTCGGCATCAGTGTTGTCTAAACGACCAGACTCTGGCTTGTCATGAAACTCCGGTCCAGCGGGGTCCATACCTGTCCCGGGACACCATACTGGTTAGTGCATACACACACACACAGACACACACACAGACACACACACAGACACACACACAGACACACACACAGACACACACAGACACACACACACACACACACACACGCACACACACAGACACACAGACACACACACACACACATATATATATATATATATATATCACCTGTTTACATATATATACATATATATATACATATATATATATATATATATATATATATATATATATATATATATATATATATATACCTGTTTACTGTGATCTTATTGCATATATATATATATATATATATATATATATATATATATATATATATATATATATATATATATATATATATATATATATATATATATATATATATATATATAAAGGTAATTAATAATTAATAACAATAATAATATGATAATAATAATAATAATAATGATAATAATAATAATAATATTAATAATATCAATAATGGCAATAATAGTAGTAATAATAATAACAGAGGGCGGCACTGCAGACGTACCTGTGATGAAGGGTATGGTGAAGGAGGCAGTGTTTTGGCCCACAGCTCCAGCAACGTGAGCGCCTAGTGAATGTCCTGACAACTGCAACTTGGAGGTGTCTAGTCCAGCAGACTCCTTCAGCCACTCCAGGAATTTGGCCGTGTGTTCACCCACCTACACATGGGTAAAGAGTTTTCTGTACTGGTGTCTGTCATCTGTTTATTTCTCTGAAGAGACGGACAAATTGTAGAATTTGTTTTTTTCGGGGAAGGGGGGGAGGGGGGTCAACGTAAGGCTCTGAGTAAAACAACGTTGTCTCAGTAAAAAAATTGTCTGTCCTTATGCTTGTCGGCATTATGTTTTTATGTTTTTTTTTTTATTATACATTACTGTACTCAGGGGTAGAGCAAATACATTGGGACAGGAAGCATGTTAAATACCCTTTTATTATATGTTACTATATCCATGGCATACGAATAGTAGGAGGACCAATTCTATATCTTAATTCTCGCAAATCAGCCATTGGTGTCAGTGGTGGGATGCCAGAGGGACACAGCTAGTATTTACCGGTGTGCAAATGTTGACAGCGGTGAGCTGCTAGAGCCATTAATCTTTAAATACATACCGGTGACATCGATGAGATACCATTGAGCTACTAACATTATTAACCACAGAGGTATATTGCTTGTGACAAGAATGGGATACTAGGGAACCACTAGAAATACTTCTCACAGAACGGTTGCAACTCCATCCCTTCTGTGAGTTGTTGGTGATTGTGTTATTACCATTTCTCGAGTCACTATCAGTGCTTATCAGCATGATATTGTTGACAGCCGTAGGACACCAGGGAGCCACTGTCGGTACTGTTCTTACTAGTGGCGGAATACCTGTGGAACACTGCCAGTACTCACCAGAGGGACATTGTCGACAGCAGTAGGATACCATGGAGCCTCTGCCAGTTTTCCCCAGTCTACTGAGAGGACGTTATATGCACCTAACTTCAGTAGCTCTGGGAAAGAACGTATCAATGGTCATTAGTTGAAAGTCTGGAAATAAATCTTAGAACCATCTAATTTAGGTTAGATGACAATGCACTGAGAGTAGTGATTTACAGTAAAGGTATTCCATTATAATATGGAAACTATTTACTATGGTTTATATGACAGGATCAGCAGACTCAAATGGCACTACAGCTCGCCTCCGTCTAGGCCACAACTGCTTATGTGATAGTTTACCCAACTTGCTGATGTAGATCTCATAATGCATAATATGTATTTTGTATTTTTTTTTCTCGATTATTAACCATTACCCAGCATGACCCAAGAAAGCCAAGCAATATGAGTTATTTCGATTGCTTTTTTTTATCCTCTTTCCCAGGAGACTTCAACATCAACCTTGGCTTACTAGATGATCAGCCTGTAACTGATTTCATCAACAATATGAACAACACACTTCTCATACCAACAATAACTAAACCAACCAGGCTCACTGAGACAAGTACAACCATAATAGACCACATATGGACCAATATACTAGCCCCCCTTAAATCAGGGATAATCACAGATAGCACTACAGACCACTACCCTACCTTCCTCCTGACAAACATTAGTAAACCACCACTTGAATACAACAAAGTCTCGTTTAGACTCCATGACGAGGCTTCAATAAGGAAGTTCACAGCTGACCTAGAGACTGTTGACTGGCCTACAGAATTCTCCAAGGCCAATGGTATTGATGACTGGACAGACATTTTTCTTAACAAATTACTTAGACTATACAACAAACATTGTCCTATAAAAACGAAACAGATCACAAACAAACGGCTTGGTTGCCCATGGCTAACCAGCACCATTCTGAAATCCATTGACAAGAAACACCAATATGAAAAGCAATATAGACAGGGCTTAATACACAAAGATATTCTTAAACATTATTCATCAGTTCTCACCAAAGTAATAAAGAAAGCCAAACAACTATACTACTCCAGTAGATTCACAGACACTAGAGGAGATATAAAAAAGACCTGGAAAACACTCTCTCAGATTCTAGGGACCAACAAACTGAAAAAAAACAAGAATATTGTCCTAACTAAACCTAATGAAACACCACTACATCCCACTGACACAGCTAACAAGATAAACGACTTCTTCTCAACCATAGGATCTAATCTCGGCAATAAAATCCCACATACCAATGCCCATGCCGGGGACTACCTAGATGGGAATTTCCCAAATTCCTTCTATCTTGCACCAACTGAGCCCTCGGAAGTCACCGAGATTATAAAGCCACTTAAAAATAACTCAGGGAATCTGTCTCATGTCCCACCATTACTGTACAAGCGAGCGGCCCATGTCCTTTCACATGCTATTTCATTACTTTTTAACAAGTCACTAGAAACTAGCACCTTCCCGAAACTACTCAAGATGGCAAGGGTTACACCAATACATAAAGGTGGTGACCCTACAGACTTAAACAACTATAGGCCAATATCAAACTTACCATTGCTATCCAAAATCTTTGAGAAACTCATGCACAAGAGAATATATTCATTTATAACGGCTCAAAACATACTCAACCCCTGCCAATTTGGATTCAGGAAAAGTAAAAGCACTAATGATGCAATCATAAAAATGCTAGATCTGCTTTACACAGCATTGGAAAATAAGGAATATCCACTAGGAATTTTTATTGACCTAAGAGAAGCTTTTGACACAGTAGACCACGACATCCTACTCCACAAACTTGACCATTACGGTATAAGAGGTCATGCGCTTGCTTATTTCAAATCTTACCTTACTAATAGGTATCAGTATGTCACCATTAAAGACACAGCATCAACAACACGGCCACTTGATACTGGAGTTCCGCAGGGAAGTGTCCTTGGTCCCCTGCTCTTCCTCATATACATCAATGATCTTCCAAACGTATCCCAACACCTGAAACCCATTCTCTTTGCTGACGACACGACTTATGTCATCTCTCACCCTAATCTTGCCACCCTCAACACCATTGTTAACGAGGAGCTGATCAAAATATCGACTTGGATGACAGCTAATAAACTTACGCTTAAACACTGACAAAACCTAACTATATTATGTTTGGTAGCAGAGCAGGAGATGCACAAATTAACATTAAGATCGACAACACTCTAATTACCAGACATAATGAGGGCAAATTCCTAGGCCTATACCTTGACAACAACCTGAATTTCAGCACCCATATCCAACACATAACCAAAAAAGTATCCAAAACGGTTTGGGATCCTCTCCAAGATACGATACTACGTGCCGCAAAATGCCCTTCTCACACTATACCACTCACTTATTTATCCATACCTCACCTATGCTATTTGTGCTTGGGGATCACTGCAGCAACACACCTAAAGCCAATAATAACCCAACAAAAAGCTGCAGTAAGAATAATCACTAAATCCCATCCCTGGCAACACCCCCCCCCCACTCTTCATAGATCTAAACTTACTCCCTGTTCAGTACATCCACACTTACTACTGTGCAATCTACATCTACAGGACCTTAAACTCCAATATCAACCTTGACCTAAAACGCTTTCTTGATAGTTGTGACAGAACCCACAGGCATAACACCAGACAAACATCTCGACGACATTCCCCGTGTCCGACTAAACCTTTACAAAAATTCAATGTATGTCAAAGGCCCTAAAATCTGGAACACCCAACCTGAGAACTCTAGAACTGCAGACACATTCATCACCTTCAAAACTACCATTAGAAAACATCTTATCTTCCTGATACACCCCATCAACTAACTACACGAATACCACCTGGTGGTTCACACTTACACTCACTCATCCATTTGACCATAAACAGAAATATTAATCTCAATCTTAAAATAATGAATCCTATGATACTCCAATACTGAAACTATGTACTGTGCCAAAACAAAAGCATTCACATTGCTAAACTCACAAACTAGTATTTAGTCACTTAGCCATAATACCAACTTACCTCATAATTTGTAATATTTTAAAATAAAGAATTAAACTAAGTCTGCCCGAAATGCCTAGCCATGCTAGGTGTTCTAGTGGTACACTCTGTAATCATTATTTAACTACATGTAAACCACACAATAACCAAATTCTGTAAATTCAACATTGTAATCCTTATAGAGAATAAACTTTGAATTGAATTTGAATTTGAACTTGAATTTGATAAGAACCCACAACTGTGGTCTAACACCTGGGTACCTTCATGGCTGTACAGACACAGAAGCAACAGGTGTAAGGAGACGTTCCCAATATTTTCACTCGTACGGGTTCATACCCGGGTCCTGTTGTGAACCGAATAATCTACTAAATAAGTATTCTCACATCCTGCATTAATATATACTTGAATATGAAATTCTAAATTACTTTAGAGAAAACTCAAAAACATCAAAATATTTACTCTACAGTAAAATATTATATGGATTCGTAGCCAAATATCCCGACTTTACCTATATTATTAAATAATTCTTTACTTCTTTAACATGGTTAACTAAAAAAATGGAATTTTGTTTCTGTTCTAGTCACGGTATTGTGCTTTTTTTTTTTTTTTTGTTTTGTTTTTGTTTTTGGTTATTTCTGAACTTATTATGCACCGCTGTAACATTTGCACTACCTATTTCAGAAGAGGTTTGTGTTGCATAGGAAAGGCATAAAATAAATAAAGTCACGAAGTCAATACTATGTGTTGATGCTGATTTTCTGTCTCTTGAAATTCAACGACCTGAAAAAGATCTCAGGATTAAGATGCCAGTAAAGCAATTACAGCTCTGTATATAATGCCAGTAAAGCAATTACAGCTCTGTATATAATGCCAGTAAAGCAATTACAGCTCTGTATATAATGCCAGTAAAGCAATTACAGCTCTGTATATAATGCCAGTAAAGCAATTACAGCTCTGTATATAATGCCAGTAAAGCAATTACAGCTCTGTATATAATGCCAGTAAAGCAATTACAGCTCTGTATAATAATACCAGTAAAGCAATTACAGCTCTGTATATAACCCAGTAAAGCAATTACAGCTCTGTATTAATACCAGAAAAGCAATTACAGCTCTGTATATAATGCCAGTAAAGCAATTACAGCTCTGAAATATAATGCCAGTAAAGCAATTACAGCTCTGTATATAATGCCAGTAAAGCAATACAGCTCTGTATATAATACCATTTAAAGCAATACAGCTCTGTATTAATGCCAGTAAAGCAATTACAGCTCTGTATTATAATCCCAGTAAAGCAATTACAGCTCTGTATATAATGCCAGTAAAGCAATTACAGCTCTGTATATAATGCCAGTAAAGCAATTACAGCTCTGTATATAAACCAGTAAAGCAATTACAGCTCTGTATATAATGCCAGTAAGAAAAATTACAGCTCTGTATATAATACCAGTAAAGAAAATTACAGCTCTGTATATAATGCCGGGAAAGCAATTACAGCTCTGTATATAATGCCAGTAAAGCAATTACAGCTCTGTTATTAATACCAGTAAAGCAATTACAGCTCTGTATTATATGCCAGTAAAAAAGCAATTACAGCTCTGTATATAATACCAGTAAAGCAATTACAGCTCTGTATATAATGCCAGTAAAGCAATTACAGTCTGTATATAATGCCAGTAAAGAAAATTACGCTTTTGTTTTATAATGCCAGTAAAGAAATTACAGCTCCTGAAATATAATGCCAGTAAAGCAATTACAGCTCTGTATATTAATACCAGTAAACAATTACAGCTCTGTAATAATCCAGTAAAGCAAATTCAGACTCTGTATTAATCCTTAAAGCTAAAACACTCTGTATTGAATCTGAATTAAGCTTGAATTGATAAGAACCCACAACTTGGTATATACACCTGGTACATTACATGGCTGTATTAGCCAGTAAAGCAAACAGCTTGTAATGAATGCCAGTAAAATTACACTTTTATCCGTAACGCATTACCCTCCTGTATATAATCCGAAAGACAACTTACAGTCGTATTATCCATCCAAGCATTACAACTCTTGAATATGAAATTCAATCTTATTTAAAGAGAAAGCTTAAAATACATCAAAAGAATTTACGTTTTATACAGTAAAATATTATATGGAATCGTAACCCAATTCCCGATTTAAAACCATAAAGCAATAACTCTTTATTCCAGTTAAAAATTTGGTTAACTAAAAAAAGGAATTATAGTTTTCTGTTTAAGCACGGAAAAATTAGGCCTTTTTGCCAGTTAGAATTACAGCTCTTTGTTTTAAAGGTAAAAATTCCTTGAATTAAATTATGCCAGTGTAAAGCAATTACACCTGTTTTCAAATGCTTTAAAGCAATGACAAGGCTAAAATGAAGTAAAGCAAATTAACACTATGTGATATAATGCGTGATTTTACTGCTCTTAAATCCAAAATGAAAATTACAGCTCTGTATATAATGCCAGTAAAGCAATTACAGCTCTGTATATAATGCCAGTAAAGCAATTACAGCTCTGTATATAATGCCAGTAAAGCAACCAGTCTTCTTAATCACACACAATAATTGACTGTTGTAATGCCAGTCAAATGGGGACCGTTGAAGGCTCAGTAAACAGTCAAAATCTTATGCATCATCACTTTTTCAGCTTTCATCATATATTTATATTTTTTGTTGTAGTATAACTGGTTATATTTTATGGACTGAGGATAACCAAATCAAACCTAACCTAACTTAACCTAATTTAATCTAACCTAACCTAATCTAACCTAACCTAACCTCAGCTAAACTAAATTTGTAGAAAACGTTTGTGAGAAAAGCCAGAGATTTGTATGGGGGTTATATGGATGGACTGAACGAAGACACAAGTTACACAACAAGTTGTTATAGGGAAGTTTCGCTATGCGTAGAGCTATAAGGTGACTCTTTTTTTTATAAAGCTCTACGCATAGCCAAAAGGTGACCCAATAAAAGATTGCTTCTTGAACTTGCGTCTTTATCTTTATATTTGTCAGGAAATAACACCGTGTCAGTCTTTACGCACCAGTCTTAGCATCCAGGATAAAGTCTTCATCTCCGTGATTCGAGAAGCCATGGATGATAACAACGGTGGCATCATTAGCGTTTAGCGGTGACCCGGCGAGGCTTGCAGAGTCCTCGATGACCAGCTCGTAGTAGCCGTCGTCGGCGGAGTTGCTCCTGAGAAAACACGAGAGGAAAAACAATGTTACAACTTCGAGGTAAGCTTATGGAAAGTAGAGTCAGGTGACTTTCTTGATACGATCCAGGATTGTTTTTTAAAACAGTTTGTGACAGAGCCAACTAGGGGAAACAACCTCCTTGACTTGGTTCTTGCCAGTAGGGAAACACTAATTAATAATCTTGAGGTTAATGATGAGCTTGGGGAAAGTGATCACAAATCACTCAGTTTTAATATATCATGGAATTCCCCTAATAAAGGCAATCAAGTCTCTGTCCCTGACTTCCGCTTGGCTGATTTCATAGGACTGAAAAATTACTTAGGTGGGTTGAACTGGAATGACCTGACTAAGGGTCAGGTAGGTGGTGATGGTTGCCGATATGATGCTTTCCAGGGCATAGTTCTAGCTGCTCAGTCAAATTATGTTCCAAATAGGGAAATCAGATCAAACAAAAATGATCCTAAATGGATGAACAATAGATTAAAATATCTGATTGGTCAAAAGAGAGGCATATATAGGCAAATCAAAAGAGGAGAGGGGCAATTAAGAAATCGATATATTCAGTTAAAGAGAGAAATAAAAAAGGGAATTAGAAAAGCAAAAAGAGATTATGAGGTTAAAGTTGCAAGACAATCGAAGACTAACCCAAAAGGATTCTTTCAGGTATACAGAAGTAAGATCAGGGACAAGATAGGCCCACTCAAAAGTTCCTCGGGTCAGCTCACTGACAGTGATAAGGAAATGTGTAGAATTTTTAACACATACTTCCTCTCAGTTTTTACACAGGAGGATACCAGCGATATTCCAGTAATGATAAATTATGTAGAACAGGACGATAATAAACTGTGCACGATTAGGGTCACAAGTGACATGGTCCTTAGGCAAATAGATAAATTAAAACCTAACAAATCCCCAGGCCCTGATGAACTGTATGCAAGGGTTCTAAAGGAATGCAAAGAGGAGCTTAGCACACCTTTGGCTAATCTTTTCAACATATCACTACAAACTGGCATAGTGCCAGATAAGTGGAAAATGGCAAATGTGATACCTATTTTCAAAACAGGTGACAGGTCCTTAGCTTCGAACTATAGACCAATAAGCCTAACCTCCATAGTGGGAAAATTTATGGAATCAATAATTGCCGAGGCAGTTCGTAGCCACCTTGAAAAGCATAAATTAATCAACGAATCTCAGCATGGTTTTACAAAGGGGCGTTCCTGCCTTACGAATTTATTAACTTTTTTCACTAAGGTATTTGAGGAGGTAGATCATGGTAATGAATATGATATTGTGTATATGGACTTCAGTAAGGCTTTTGACAGGGTCCCACATCAGAGACTGTTGAGGAAAATTAAAGCACATGGAATAGGAGGAGAAATTTTTTCCTGAATAGAGGCATGGTTGACAAATAGGCAGCAGAGAGTTTGCATAAATGGGGAGAAATCAGAGTGGGGAAGCGTCACGAGCGGTGTTCCACAGGGGTCAGTGTTGGGCCCCCTGCTGTTCACAATCTACATAAACGACATAGATGAGGGCATAAAGAGCGACATCGGCAAGTTTACCGATGACACCAAAATAGGCCGTCGAATTCATTCTGACGAGGACATTCGAGCACTCCAGGAAGATTTGAATATACTGATGCAGTGGTCGGAGAAGTGGCAGATGCAGTTTAATATAGACAAATGCAAAGTTCTAAATGTTGGACAGGACAATAACCATGCCACATATAAACTAAATAATGTAGATCTTAATATTACGGATTGCGAAAAAGATTTAGGAGTTCTGGTTAGCAGTAATCTGAAACCAAGACAACAGTGCATAAGTGTTCGCAATAAAGCTAATAGAATCCTTGGCTTCATATCAAGAAGCATAAATAATAGGAGTCCTCAGGTTGTTCTTCAACTCTATACATCCTTGGTTAGGCCTCATTTAGATTATGCTGCACAGTTTTGGTCACCGTATTACAGAATGGATATAAATTCTCTGGAAAATGTACAAAGGAGGATGACAAAGTTGATCCCATGTATCAGAAACCTTCCCTATGAGGATAGACTAAGGGCCCTGAATCTTCACTCTCTAGAAAGACGTAGAATTAGGGGGGATATGATTGAGGTGAATAAATGGAAGACAGGAATAAATAAAGGGGATGTAAATAGTGTGCTGAAAATATCTAGCCTAGACAGGACTCGCAGCAATGGTTTTAAGTTGGAAAAATTCAGATTCAGGAAGGATATAGGAAAGTACTGGTTTGGTAATAGAGTTGTGGATGAGTGGAACAAACTCCCGAGTACAGTTATAGAGGCCAGAACGTTGTGTAGCTTTAAAAATAGGTTGGATAAATACATGAGTGGATGTGGGTGGGTGTGAGTTGGACCTGATAGCTTGTGCTAACAGGTCGGTTGCCGTGTTCCTCCCTTAAGTCAATGTGACCTGACGTGACTAGGTTGGGTGCATTGGCTTAAGCCGGTAGGAGACTTGGACCTGCCTCGTATGGGCCAGTAGGCCTTCTGCAGTGTTCCTTCGTTCTTATGTTCTTATGAGTCTGTTTATATATGAAGGTATTGGAGAGAGTTACAATACTTTTTTTAGGATATCCTGTACCATTGTTATCACCATTTTTCTTCTTATTCATCTTTCACTAAACTCTTTTTCTATTTTTTTCTACCACTAGTGCAACCATTACTATTATTACTTTAGCTATCTTGTTGCTACTTCCTTCACTGGTGGTACCATAAGTACTACTACTACTGTTGCTATTGATTTTACTATTACTACTACTAGTACTACTACCACTAAAGCTACTATTACTACTACCACTACTAGCAGTAGTAGTACTACTACTACCACCACAACCACCACTACCAACACTACCACCACCACCACCACAATCTTCTTCATCCTAACTCCCGACCTGTTATTTGGTATTCTCTGTTGTTTCTCAGTTGGTAATCGACAATAGTTCGGGAAGGATCAGAATGTCTTGCAAGGTTTCCTCTACTAAGTGAGAGTCACTTGTAAACATTCTCTCTACTTAATCCTCCAGAGTAGAATTTTAAAATCTTACTGAGTACTGGTACCAAAAATTCATTCAACGTTTTCACAATGACGCTAATAGGACAGCAAGCCTTGATAACAGAACGTTTCGCTCAGTTTGGAAAAAGCTTGTATAATAGAGGCTTTGCTGCGTTTTTGTATTATTCGACTTGTGGGAAATTTGCCTACCAACCATCAACAGTTGCCGTGATTGCACGCACACGCAATTGTACAACAAACACGCAAACTCAAATTAACACACACACACCCACACATACACACACACACACACACACACACACACACACACACACACACACACACACACACACAACACACACACACACACACACACACACACACACACACATAATACTATATTAATATAACATATTGTCGGTAATTTCTACCAACATTATAACACAAAACATGCGACCTAAAATCTAATGATCAACCAAGTACTCCAGCTCTTCCCCCAAAACATGGCTGAAAAGAGACAGTTTATGATGTAAATAATGAACTGCAGAGAACAGTGAAGGAGAGCTACTCTGCAGGGCAGGATAGTTTTAGGGGCAGTGTTCCACTCATAGCCAGAAAAACTTCTACACATATCGAAGCAATGTACAAATTAAAGTTTCTTGCGAGATGCTCTCTCTGGTTTTTTTTTTCCAGCAAAGACAGTCTTACTTGGTCCAGAGGAGGAAGCGGACATCGTCGACTGTAGCTCTGGGTGGCTCCTGCTCTCGGACCTTAGGGGCGGTCATGACACCTGCCGCCACCACCACCACTGCCACAACACACATAAAACAGAACAGTTAGAGGGTTATACATATTTTATAACTAGTGCATGCATTGAAACGTGTAATAAATATGTCGAAACATGAAGAAAAGACTTGGCCATAAAATTCTACATACAACAAATCTTTATTTTTGAGTAACAAATCTACCATCATCTTCGATTTAAAGTTATGTTATTGATTCTATGATGACAACCATGTTAATGTCTTAAGGAAAGAAATTACTGCTATGATCTGTACATTATTAATTCATCCTTACAGAAGTAGTCATGTCATCTTACCAAAGAAGACAAATTTTAACATCGTCGTCAAAAGCACTTTCTAGCAACCGCAGCTTTAATGCTAACACAGCACTACTAGTTCCTTGCAGATCCTAAGACCCCACTAGCTCCTTGCAGATCCTAAGACCCCACTACCTCCTTGTAGATCCCAAGATTACTAGTTCTTTGCAGATCACAAGACTCCACTAGCTCCTTGCCGATCCAAAGACACCACTCGCTTCTCGCAGATGCCAAGAGAATCTCATCTATCTAAAGAGACTGCAGACTCACACACCTCGTTAAGCCAAGGCGAGTATTTATACGGCGTATAAATAACTCTCCAAGGACGCTGCTCCAGCTGTATGGGAGCTGGATGGGAAAATGGGGCCAGTGAGGAGGTGGAGGAGGAATATGAAGTGTTTTTTTTTTAGCGAAATTTGGATATATTGTACGATATATTGATAGTCACATAGCGGGAACGAAAGCCTTTTTTCCTGTCATGTTGGGAGAGGAGGCCATAGGACTAGTGTTGGAGGCGTGATGATGTAATGCTGACAGATATCGAGTGAATAACAAAAACATTGGAAAAGGCAGAATATGACTTCCAGTGTTAGAATGCTGATCCTAAATGTGGCATAATTTTGAAGATTTCTAGATTGCTTCATTTTTAAGGGGTTCCAGATGTTGCGTCATAGTGAAAGGTTCCAGATGTTGCGTCATTGTTAAGGGTTCCAGATGTGGCATCATTGCGAAGGTTGCCAGAAGGTTTACTAGCTTAGAATGACTGGTAGAATCAGAGAAGGGAGTATAAAAAGGCATAACTTTATCTCATATCACATAGGTGTTTATGATCACTTATTATTCGAGATTATTATTCAGACTGTACACCTGAGAACTCTACCACCTGCATCACTGCGACGTTACTATTTAGGAAAGGGCGATGTGGGAAAGAATGACTGGGAAAAACAGAGGAAAGGAGATGAATAAGGAAAAGAAGGTGGTTAGGAAAATGCTGAAATGGATGACGAGAGAAAAGAAAGAAAAGAGGGGGCAAGGATGGAGAATTTTATTCATGGAGAAAGCCCTAAACCCATAAAGATCATAAAATCCCAAGAAAACAGAAAACATTCAGCTTTTATCCAAAGAAGAGGAAAGTGTGATGTAATTAGTTTAGAATGCCGACAAAATGAATACTAAAACACTTTTGCAAAAGTGTTAAATACTCCAAGAAGAAAGTAGCTTCAATTCCTCAGATCAGGAGCCCCTCACCAACATCAAGGCACACCTCCCTGAAAAGGCTCTGGCAACAAACCTCCCGATACCATAACCTCATTACCGATGTGTACTAATAATTGACTAAAGGGATTCATAACTAACCCAAAATTTAAGAGAGTCCTTAGATGACGTTAAGGTGCGTCCTGGCCATTGTAGAATCACCTTAAAACTTAATATTAAAATAAAAGAGCTAAAAAGAGATTAGACTAAGAGCCGGCACTCAACCTTCCCTCTTCCCCCTATAAAAACAAATCGGCGAATATACATTCAATGCTCCCATATCTCTCCTTTACTTCTCCCGATAGCGGCCATGGTTTCTACCAATGATAATCACTACAATACAGACAGCATGAGTATAAACAAACACAGGTACGCCGTAGTGTTCCTACGATAGAATGTGTAGGGTGATGTGTCCTCAGAGCAGAGCTCGCGTCTCATAGACACATTGTAGAGGAATATGTATACTATATCACTTAAGTGATATATACACATTCCTCAGCAATGTATACACATGTATACACATTTCTCAGCAATGGGATATAAATGAACAATTTATTGCAATACGGGGGAATTTACGTGCCTATTTAAATAAAATAGGCAGGTGAACTCTGGTTGTTTAGTCTGCACCTAAAATGAAGGGAAGAATACACCGAGATGTATATACCTCTGTGTACATATACACTTAGAGCTTACTTCAGTTTCCATAGTAAGGATAAAATTATGTTTATTCCCAAATGTGGTGATTAAAGTAAATTTTTAGTTTATATACACTACTGTCGGTGTACAGTAAGGTTATATGCAACACATGCTTACAGACGATCACAATAATCACTTTTCAAAACACAAAAATAACGCCAATAAGTTATCATTTGACTGTCACAAGAGCGTTACAAAAATTATCTTGAGTGACCTTCATGATGTTTGTCTGGGAATTTCCATGTAGTCAGCTGTACCAGTTCTCTTCTGATAAAAATGTCTTGGTGGAAAAAATCGTAACACCTTTAGTAGTTATTTTTATTTATTTATTTATTAACACATCGGCCGTTTCAGTTCTTTGAATCAAGAGCCTCCACCAGCAACAAGGCATCCTTAACAGGACAAGCAACCGTGACGCACCATCTCTTCGGCTAACATGGCTGTAAAATACTGAGTACTTCTCAGATTTCCAAGTTCTTGCAGTGCTAATGTCTTCAGTCCCCTTTAGTGCAAGTGTGGGGACCCATAGCCTCGAAGATGTCAGTAAAACAGATTAGAGGAAGATATATTGAATTTCCTCGTGGGGGCAGTATGAATATTCTTTTTCTCTAAGTTCATAATGATTAGTAATTTATTCACCTAAATCATCTTGTATGATTTTATAATAAAAACTTATTGTCCCACGGGAAAGGATTTAAAAACCAAGAAAAATTCTTAGCTAAAGAAATGCTCACGAGAGTTTGCTATTATATGTGTCCTCATTAATGTGGAAGATAAGTTTCTCCTCCACACGAGTTTAGCTTCGGCAAAAAGTTGAATTATCATGAATTCATTTTAGTAAGACAATATTTAGTAGGCTAAATGCCAAAATATTGAAACAGTCTAGGCTGTATATAAGTCGAATTTCACAAATCCAGTTCATTGTCGTGGAATTCTTATGAATTGGCCAATGATTTATTGTACCGTTGAATTATTGAAGTATTTAAAACATTTGTTAAATTTTGCCTTGTCTTGTATGCCTTAAGATATAGATCAGGATTTTCAAAATTTACGAATCAAATACTCACAGTTGGTCAACACTCAAACAATACGTAAAATTGATTTAATATATAATTTTTTTTTTCAAAATTGATCATCGAAATTGTTTTAAAATCAGATACACGTGTTAAAATAAAATGATACTTCGCCTTCCAAGGAACTTGATAATTTTTGGCAAGTTTAAGGTACTTTACTGACATAACCAACAAAAGTGGTCAGGCAAACCAGATTCCAAGTGGACCTTGGTGGGATATTAGACAAGCGGGAAAAAAGGAGTTAATATTATGCTAACTGATATTGGTGAAATTTACATTTAATTTATACTCTATGAAACTGGAGAGACTAGGCTCTCATGATAATGCTTTTTACTGCTTCGGTCACTAATCAGGCCAAGCGGATTAAGAGTTAGGAGATATCATATATGTATTAATGTACCTAGAGTTAGATGATTGGTTGGTTTACTAGAGAAAGGATATTGAGCACACGAAGGTCATTAAGGCAAAATTATTTCTCAGAGAATGTACTCTAAATGATTTACATCCATTAGATTATTATAATAAAAAAGAAGCACTAAGCCACAAGGGCTATACAGCACATCCATCAGAATATATAATCTTGCAACCCGGAAAAGTCCCAAATTTAATGGTTAGTGATTAAAGTAGGTAAGTGGAGTAGTGAAGTATTATATAAACAAATGAGCTTAAATAACTATGATAAACAGTGTTAGAAAAATTAAGTAAAACGTTCATTTTTGGTTTTTGAAGCCCAGACGCATTAACGTATATTTCAACCCCTTCTTAGAATGTGTCCCATAACTGTCGGCTAACACTAAGGTTTATGTACCGCTAGGCGAACAGGGGCAGCAGGTATCAGTGAACATGTCCAAGGCCTCTAGTCGCCCCAGTATCGAATCCGGGGTACTTCGTTTGTGAACTGTAGGCTTTATCATTGAGTCACAAGCTTAATGTTGCTGATAATTTTACTAAAAATGTCCTTGGATTCTCGGAGATATTGTACTAACTTTTATTTCAAATTTCGTTCAAATCGGACAAATAATTTTAAAAATAAGAATTTCTGTTCCTATGGTTTTATTTTCAAAATAGTCTGCAGTCGTAACTCATGTACGAATAGAGCACAACTTGTTGAAATCGCTTCCAATATTTTCACTGTTTGAGGTTCACCACTTGGCTAATAGTGATCGAGGAAAGAATTGTTCATTCCTTGAATAAGCTTCAATCAATATATATCTGCAACACTAAATATAATTTTCTATTACCATTTAGAGTATTACAGAATGTTCAAAACTGACTCAACATTTTTGGTATTATACAGACATTTTTGTAATATTTATAAATGAAGAAGCTCTTAAAAATTGCTGAACAGTCTTGTAAATGAACAATTTATTAATTATAGAATACGTATTGTCCATTTACATCATTCACATTTCAAACAAGCAATTAAGTTAAAAATGCAACAAACAATCTTAGTCAAAAGGAATTCAAAAGCTGACATACTGTGGTGAGTTACTGTTGTCATCTAACTTTTACCTGTATGTCCTACGAATTATTGGTTGCTGCCTGTGCAGGGAATTTCATAAGCACTAGGTACATTAAAAGTTAATTCTAGATTAAAGGGAGGGGGGGGGGCAAGTGAGGTACGAGCCAAAGAGCATCTCTATACAAAAGAAATCCTTATAATACAGATTTCTGGGCAATCTGGAAACAAAAAAGGTGATGTTTTTCAAATAAGTTTTCATTCTCTGTAGGGAAAAGAAACCCACAGCAGGTTGATGCATTTTATAATAACATCACTATGTAAACAATGAAATTTTAGTATCCAGTCCTGTCAAGAGCACGTCTTTCTTGCAATCACTGGAAACACAGTTATCTAGTCCACAGAGTTCAACACAAGTAGGCTAGCAGCTACTACTGCCTCGGCCAGTCATGGGAACCACTGCCTCCCACACCTTCGGATATTTTCTTAGATCTCAGTCCCCAGCACAGCACGCCAGAGGTTGAGTTCGCTGTGCACCAATTACAGGGGTCAACAGCACCACTGAGCGAGTTAACACTTCATTAAACCTGCTTCAGGTGATATAACCGTAACAAATTTAACGTGACCTACATGTTTAACTGTCCACTTTTTCGAAGATTATATTGATGAACAAGAAATGAGCTAATGTCATATATTAATTAAAGCAAAAATTGTGAGCACATATTTGCTTCCTGAACATATAGAATACACATATAACTGGAATTATTGTACAAATACCCAAGTGTAT